ATTTTGATACTCAGACCTCTAAAAGAGACTAAATTGACCTATGGCCAAAAAATACAGCTGATTCAAATTGTCAGTAACCACACTCCTTAGGTAGGTCGAATTTAAAAGGGTTTCATATAATAGTTCTAGAATTCAGAGATTCTGTGATATCCTTTCTAAAGATACCACATTCTCTCTTAACCTTTTCTGAGCTTCCCAATTGCTAGTGTTCAGTCTGTCCTCAAATTACATTATTTATATTATTCATTAAATATGTCATTCATCTGTTTGTATCTATACGCATGCATACATATATGTGTAAAAATGGATAGATAAGTAGATAGATATTCACTAGTGAGAATGTAAGGTCCTTGTGGGCAAGGACTGGTATATATTCATTTTGCCTTGCCTGTAGTTGATTGTTGAATATAGAACATTAGTGCTATTTAATACAGCCAAAAGAAAACATACTTAAAAATGCAAGCCATGTGATTTTATCTTTCCACTTTATTATACATTATGGATTTTAATATTCCCATATATCATTTGAAACTCCAAACATTAAAGCACATTATAAGCCAACTTAACATTTCTATTTGTGGTTTTACAAAATACATCATAATGATGATGGCTTGGGTAAAAGCATTTTGTGTTTTGAGATAAGCGATGGATCCTGTATATGAGTTGTAATCAAAGAATACAATACTAAATTAACCTGAAGCTTCTTTTCAAAGGTCCTTGCTATATTAATGTATGATTCTATTATACATTGATAGGGTATAAACATTTTTTCTACTAACATTAATTTTTGATGAACCAAGTTAAAGTTGAGTAATCAATCATCTTTTAATTATACATACTTTTGGGGAAAGACATCAACTTTTCTCATTACTTTGACCTTGAATAAATTCTAAAATATAGCCCACTTCCTCTCCATTCTGTGTTTTTCAGTGCTTTGTAACAGATAAGATATGATAGGATCATAGAATTTAGAGCTGAAAACAACCATAGAGGTCATTTAGACCAACCTTCGCTTTTTACAGATGAGGAAACCAAAGTCCAGAGAGGTTAGTTACTTGTCCAAGGTCACACATGTAGTAAGGGGCAGAGTCAGGATATGAGCCCAGGTCTTCATGACTCTAAATCCTGAGCTCTTTCAATACATGATGGCTATTAGGTCTGAATTTTTTCTGGGCTTCAAACACATCAAAGATAATTATAGCACTAGAAAAGACTCAACCCACTCATCTCATAAATGAAGAACCTCAGACTCAGAGATGTTCAGTAATTTGCCCAAGGTCATGCAGATGGTATAGTAAGTTGCAAAATTGGGATTTGAACCCAAATTTTCTGTCTCTAATGCCACAAATCTTTCTACAACCCCATTCTTCCTCATGCTGTATCAATTCCACTTATGCACAGAAATATTTTGGGGTGTTTTTTTTAGATACTCTCTATTCATTTCTAACTTGTTTTACATGGGACATGGGTTTGTTTCCTTCTTGGAATTTGATTAGATTGTGAGCTCCTTGATCTCTCCCGCTCTTCTCTCTGTGCCTAGCAAATTGTAGTAGACTTGATTTGAGAGCATTTCTGGATATTTGTATCATGTTTGAATTTATATCTATAACATATATAACCCAAATATATTAATCGTGACATAGTATATCACACATATTCAATACATTTTCATAATGCCTTCAGATAACCCTTTAAATAGTGTGCTGGCAGAAAGTGAGATAACTTTTCCAACAGGAACAGACCTTTAAAATCACAGTTAAACATACTGGTTAAATGGTTAAGGTATTACAGTCTGTGGAAATAACATGGTTGTATACAGTCCCAGTGAAACAGAGAATTGCTTCCATTTCAAACTCCACTAACTCAGAATTCATAATCATTTTAACATGGATTAAAAGGTTACTCTTGCCCCATTTCCTTGGGTGTTGAGGGAGGCTACTCCAAATAATTTAAATTTATAAGCAAGACGGAAAAGAAATTCTTTAGACCCTTCCAGAATAAATTATTTTCACACATTTTAGAAGCACTTATTTTCCTATACTGAATTAATATCTAATTAGCACCAGTCCTATTTGAACATTTTAAGCAGATCCCAAAGGGGCTCTTTTTGGCTTCCTTAAAGCAATTCTGTAATTCAGTTATTATTACCCACCTGTTAGCCTGAATTAGATTTAGTGATATTTGGACAGTTCAGGTCAAACAGTTTGCTGTAAATGTCTTAACAACTGATGTGAAAATGTTTGTATCAGCCCGAATTATCCAGATAATTCCCTCAGTTTTCCACTTCACTTTTTACAAGTAAGCAGAAACTCCTAGAAATATATTATGTTTTAGTGTTTGACTTTCTTGTACTATATGTAAGCTTATGGTACATTTATTTATTGTGTGCACATGTATGCATATATGTATGTACACATATATATCTGCATAAATATACTTATATATATATTTCTACATAAACACATACATATATTTGCACATCTTGTACTGTATATAAACCTCTGTACACATGCAACAGGTAATCTAAGCATAGTTTAGTCCATAGAAATTGTGTGTGTGTCTATTTGTGAATTTTAAGTGATCAAGAAAAAATTAAGTAATAAGACAAATAAAATATTTTTAATGTCAGAAGGGTGCAAGGATATTTCAGTATTACCTTTTGAATTATCTTTCAGTGTTTTATATTCTTTTACAAAAGCATCTTTTATACTCATTCTAAAATATTTTATTATAACTAGTCTAGATGCTTTTTCAGCTTAGTCTGCTAAGAACAGGCATAATGCTCTATTCACAAGATGCATTTTGGCAAATGAAATCCTCTTGAGTCATTAAAATTGCCCAGAAGAAATTAACACATTTCTTTCTTTCAGTAGAATCTCTAGTATGGATTCATTCATACAAATTGGATGCATTAGAAACTTAACATTAATTTAATCTGTTTAAAGGTTTTCAACAGCTTGCCAAATCCCCAAAGCATGACTCTACCCATTTGATTGATTTGAAACCGTACCCAGAAATTTCTAAATTGTTGTATTTGCCAAAAGCCTTATTCAGCATTTAAAGTGCTTAGGCTTTTATCAGTGTTGAAAACTTCAGGAAACTAAACTTGATTACTTAATAAACAAAATATTTTTGTAGAAGTTCCTTAAAGACTGTTTTTCTCCTTAATCGAATAGCACAGTACAAAATGGCATCCATTTTCTAAATCATATAGGAGCTGCTGGGGAGGAGAGAGGAAAACATCATTTGTATATTCTGATTTTTGGAGCATGAATAGATGTTGAACTGCTGTCCATGTCAAGAGCCTTCTGCTGGACAGATATGAGGATAATTATTTCAAAATAGCCACATTCTTTCCATTTTGTATTTTTATGTTTATATGTTACCTTATCATTGCTAATTCCTATACCATCCTATGGGGGAATGAGTCAGTATACTTCCATAAATATAAATTCATTCAATAGTAAATATTCCTACTACCTTCTTTCAATATGACAGGACCTATCCAAGGCAAATTCATTTTCCCCAAGTAACATGCTATCTCTTCAAATTTCTGTCCCCACCCCCAAAAACTAATTCAGGATTATAGTTATAGTGCTAGAAGAGATCTCAAAAGACCTATTATCCATCTAACCTTATTGTACATATAGATAAGGAAAATGTGACCTGTAAGGAAGTGCAATGACTTGCCCAAGGTTACACAGGAAGTAAATAATACAACTAGGATTCAACCCTTGATCGTCTGATTTCAAATGTAGTGTTTGTGTACCGGTACCATACCACCACCAACGTTGAATTTGTAGGTCTGAAGTGTAATAATTCAATCAGCACCAGCTCTAACACTTTCTTCTACAAGTCAGAAGGCCAAGTATGAGAAAAATACACTTTAGAATAAATCTTATTGTTATTGTTCAGTTGTTTCAGTTGTGTTCTTCATGACCCCCTTTGGGGTATTCTTGGCAGAGATACTGGAGTAGTTTGCCATTTTTTTCTCCAGTTCATTTTACAGATGACAGAACTGAGGCAAACAGGGTTAAGGGACTTGCTCAGTCACACAGCTAGTAAGTGTCTGCAGCCAGATTTCAGTTCAGGCAGATGAGTCTTCCTGACTTCAGGCCTGACACTCTATCCACTGAAGCACCTAGCTGCCCAAACTAAATCTACATAATCGATTTTGTGTCTGATGGCCGTCGTGTGTCTGTAACTGGTCCAAAGTTCACCTTAAGTGAGGCTTTTAGTTTTCTTTTTCTCCCATGCACAGTATCTAACAGACGGTATGAGATAATCTGTAGATAAGTCTCTCAGAGGATTGGCTGTCTTGAGTTATACATAGACCCTTCCAAAATTCCTTTAATTTGCCATCATGCTTATATTAGGTGAGACTCAGAGTGGAGTAGTGGATAGAGAGCTGACTTAGAATCATGAAGACCTAAGTTCAAATGTTTCTTTTGACACGTACCGGCCAGGTAACCCTGGACAAGCCATTTAACTCATCGTTATTCCCCCAAAACTCTCTAAGGCTGGAAGTTGCAGGCTAGTTGCTAAAAACTGTACTGGTAAAAGGAGTTTTCTCACTGAATTTCTTACATTGATGAAATCTCAGGTCTGACAAACAAAACAATTCCCCTTTACTAAGCAGAAGGCAGGGTGATATTTCACCAGGCCCTCCAGGAAAAATTGCTTAGGGCTGTCAGTGAGTCACTTCAACTAACCCTTCTCCCATCACTCTTTAATGATTGCTTCAGTGAGGGGCCCACCTGGAAGAGGTATGATGGTTAATTTCAGTTTGTGTAACTCAGCATTGCCTCCTGTGCTAATAGTCAAATCGCCATGCTCCGTGAAGCAGAATTTTAATACGAAAATATCTGGAACCCCCTGCTTCTTTGGGCCATTGCCGGTCATTTTGACCTTTGTCTTGCCACTAGACTCCAGTGACTCTGGAGGAGACAGTGAGGCTGATAACTTTGCTTAGCTCTGCCTCACTTAAATCTAATTCATGCCTAAATCAAGACATCACCTTCATGATGTCATTTGTCCCCTTCCAGAATGAAGGACAAAGAGCAACTTTGTTTTTAGAGACAAGGCTTCACCTGTTCTCCACAGGGGTAAACTCATCATCACCAATGAACAAAAATGCCTATATTTTTCGGTGATATTTTAACCAAAATAACAACAAAAAAAAACCCATACAAGAAAAGCACACTGTTCATGCTGAGGGAACAGCACGCAGGTTATCAATACTGTTGAGATTAGTTGAGGTTATTTGAACAAGACGGGATGAAGGTGAGAAATAAGTTATTCAGACAAAGGAGTCTCCTCCATCTTCTCTGGTGGGTGTTCTGGGGCTGGAGCCACACTGGACTCTGGGCTCAGGAGGCACAGCTGGTTTTTGCTGACTTCGGGAAGGTCTTGAACAGTACATGATGCTTCCTTGTTCTTCCTTTGGCTCAGCTGAATCATTGTCACCTTGGAAGGGCACAATGAAGCATCAGGGGCAGATGAAGCAGGTTGGCAGTGGAAGAGGATGAGGAAACACTTGTAGAACTGAAAGGAGAAGAAGGAAAAATAGTGACATAGAGATATAGGAAAAGGTGAAATGCGTAATGATTTGAACTTCTGGCCTCTCTTTTATAATTCAGTTCAATTCAGTACACATTTATTAAGTGCCTGCTGAGTGCCAGACTCTGTACTGGGTTCTGTGGATGAAAGCAAAAACAAAATGCCAGCCTCAAGGAGCTTGTGTTCTTTGTGGTAAACAGCATGTACATGCTGAGTATGCACAAAGCTAATGCAAAGGAATTTCCAATAGGGAGGGTTCTGGCACCTGGGTTTGGGAAGGGGCTGGGGAATAAGAATAGATTTCCTAAAGGAAGAGTCAGATTGTATGAGGCAGAGATGAGGAGAGACACATTCTAGGCATGAGGCATAGAGATAGGAGGTGGAATTTCATGGATAAGAAACAACAAGTGGGATGCCCAGAGAGGTTGATTGGGATTCAATTGTCAAGCTTTTTGTTAAAGCCAAATGGGAATTTATATTTTATCCTGGCGACAATGGGGATTCACTGGACCTTCTTGAGCAAGGGAGTAAATGGTTAGACTCGTGCTTTAGGAATATCAATTTGCCAACTATGTAGAAGATGGATTGGAGAGGGAAGAGAATGAATCCAGGATGACCAGTGAGGAGGCTATTACGATAGTCTAGACAAGAGGTGATGACGGCCTGAGCTAGAGTGGTAGTCATGTGAGTGACAGAAAGATAAATGTGCTATCCTGTGGAAGTAGAATCAATAGAAGTGTCTTAATCTTAGCTATAACATCATTTGTCTTGGGTCTAAGATTCCCATTCACTAGCATGGACCTCTCCTTCTAGTATTTAATACTAGCATCACACACCAGTAGAAGTAATCAATGTGATACTGTTGAGGTGACAGGAAGTACTGTTAAGGGTTGTACAGTGGAAAGACTAATGGCCCTGGATTTAAAACCTGCCTCTGTCACCTGCTACCTGTGTGACCTTAACTTCTCTCATCTTAATACCTTATCTGTACAATGAGGGGATTGGACTAGATGAAGTATGAGGTGCCTTCCAGCTCTCTAGTTATTGTTATATACTAGGATCTCTTATTTATGATCCTAACGTGACTTTCCCTCTATGGGCCTCATTGTCCTCATTTGTAAAATGAGGAGCAGATGACTTCTGAGGTCCTATGCAACTCTAAATCTCTGATTCTATAAGGCAATTCATCTTTCTAGGTCTCAGTTTCCTCATCTGTAAAATGAAGAGATGGGAGCAAATGACTTCTTAGGTTACTTCCAGCTTTAAGCTCTGATCTGATGGAAAGAGTTTCTTTCCAGTCTAAAAATCCTTACCCACCCAAGCCTTCCTAAGTCAAAATGGATCTGATTTTTTTTTCTTTCCCTTTCAGGAATACTTATCATGATGTCTTTGTGCAGAGAAGTGCACGTGTATGAATATATTCCATCTGTACGACAAACTGACCTCTGCCACTATCATGAACTATACTATGATGCAGCCTGCACTCTGGGGGCCTACCATCCCCTGCTCTACGAGAAGCTCCTGGTGCAGAGGATGAACCAAGGCATCCGAGATGACCTGTACCGAAAGGGGAAAGTGATCTTACCAGGGTTTCGAGCTATCAGCTGCCCTGCACCTGATCAGTTTCCAAATTCTTAAAGAGAAAGGAAGAAAGAGAGAAAAAAGGAAGAAAGAAGGAAGGAAGGAAGGAAGGAAGGAAGGAAGGAAGGAAGGAAGGAAGGAAGGAAGGAAGGAAGGAAGGAAGGAAGGAAGGAAGGAAAGAAAGAAAACAGGAAGGAAGGAAGGAAGGAAAGAAGATTTGCCAGAAATAATGTGCAATAAGGTACTACTGTTGTACTCTACCCAACAAAAGAATACTTGAAGATATATTTTAGACCAACATAGTCTTGAGTCTTTAAACTGTAATTTAGAAGTAGGCATGAGGAATCTTCCCTTCCTAAGCCATTGAATATTTATTACTGCTTTGCAAATAGTTAAAGGAATATATTAACAATAAAGCTTAGCTCAAGAAAGGTACAAAATGGTGTAGCTAGAAAGAAAAATCAATATATTTCTGTGGGTGTGACATGTCAGAAAATGTTTATGCTTTCCCAAACCCAGTGTGCTCATTTCCTGGTTTATTTCAATCATATTTTTAACCTGATTTTGGAAAATGTTTATACACAGAAATTAATATGATGAAAGACTTTTTGATATCATCAATGGGGTTGCTTCCTCCAGCCATACAGTCGGCAACCTTTGCATACCTTCTCATCCTGTGTTATTCTTATTCATTCTTTAAAAAAAAATTTTCTTAGAGGATATACCCCTCTCTAGAGACCTTTATCCTATTTTTTCTTTTTGTTTTGTTTTCAGTATATTGTCAACAATGGCTGACTCCCAAGTTATCCATCTGTTGTTTCTCATTTTTGTTCTCCAAGTGGCTCACCTTTTTTCCCAGTCCTGGGTAATCTTAGGTCATTTATTTAACACAAGTCATCATTAGGAACATTCTGTAACCTGCTTATATTCCTTCCATGTCTTTCAATTGTCTTTTGGTTTCTGGTAGTTTTCATTTTCCATGGCATACATGCATTCCTTGGTGACTATTACTGGGAGAATATTGGTCTTTTAGAAATAGGCTTTTGCAAGTGGCAAGCAGTTTGGAATCAGTTAGAGAATGTCCAATTTCTCAAAAGCAAACCAGCTTAATCTCTTCTTTATATACACATTAATGTTCACCTTAAAAGACAGAACTTTACCACTGCCATCCATAAATAATCATAAGGTCATATGCACATAAACCTCAAGGAAACACGAATAACTATTCCATACACACTTCCTCTTCTCCCCCCCCAAAAAAAACCCATCCTGTCTCTTTTTACAAATTACTGAATTCTTATTTAAACAGATTTTTTTTTAACTAGCAGAGGCAGTCGTGTGTTGTCAGGCCTTCACATGCCTCTAACTATTCTCTTGTCTTTTTTATCACCCAAAATTTTTTTGCTCTGTGGCCACATAGTTGAATTTCTAAAACCAAATAAAATAAACCTTGAGGAATATGAAAGAAGGCAGGTTTCCAAAGCAACTTCTGTGCAAGGAAGGGTTAGTATCCACTTTTCTGTAGGGAGTTTGTTTTATTGCAATATTTTCTTAAAGGAATAAGGGAAATATCAAAGAATAAAATGTAGAAAAACCTACAGGGATGTAAATAAGGACAGTTATTGAATTATGCAGGGAAGTTACTTGGCTCAGACCTTTGTCTTAATAACCAAGGTTCTGCTCTGTTGCCCATTTGCAATTAGTTTTCCATGCTGACAATTATATTCAGGCAAGCCAGTGAAGAAGGCAGTATTTGTTTTATTTCTTCACTTGGGCTGATAACGTCTGAGTCTGACCTATTATTGATGGAATGGAGTGCACAGCAACTGTCCCATTTGCACATAAAGAATGTTCCTCACCTTAGTACCTAAAGTTCTCACAAGATTTTTGCAGGCTATCCCATGCTCCTAGCCAGCCTACTGTGATATGCATTGACTTTCAACTGATTTTCCTTGTAGGCAAATGTTAGGGAAGCCATCCTCAGTTTTAGTGGACATATTTTATTTCAACTGTGTGACAAAACCATAGAGTTAAATCTGAAACAGTATGAACACATTGTTCTTCCACCACAAGGCACATTCTTAAATTTGAACGGGGAAATTTCCATCTAATATGTTAGTAATTCATTTTGAGGATTCTCCCCCGTTCAAATGTGATCACCATTAAGGAACAGTATTATATCGTTATAGGAGGGATTTGTTTACAAATCTCACCTACATTATTTAGTAGTTGGTTGACCTAAGACAAATATTCCAGTCTAATAAACCTCACATTATTTATCCATATATTGGGAGTAGTAATAAAACAAATAGCTACATCAGGGTATGCTCAAATGAGTTAATTGTACAAGGCTCTACAAAACCTGAAAGTGCTTAAATCAATGTTAATATATTATCATAACTTAGAAGAAGGTGGTATTTTTCACTTACAACAGCTATGTCAGCATTAGAAGGCAAATTTAAAGTAATTTGGGTGACACATCTTAATTAGCCTTATCCATTTGATACCCTCATATATCTGAAAGTCATCCCTCAGTGATGGCACTAGTTTAATTAAAGGTATTCTGTTGGGCAAGTGTCTAAATTTCAGGTGAATTGGCAGAAAGTGTTCAGTCCTTTCATTGGACTGATTTGTCAATAGTAAACCAGGACTAAATTCAGCAAGAAGTATCGTTAATAATAAATAATGCCTCTCTGCTTAGTTAAGCTATTCAACAGAAAACTGGCTGAGTAGCAGACTACCTGTATTATTCACTAATTACCTTTAATAAAATTTAAACCAATAAGTTGTGGGTTAGGGAGAGTTTTGGCTTAAAGGTACTGAGATTGAGGGTAGTAGGAAAATCTACTATAATGGATTTTTTAAAAATTTGATTTGAGCATAAGTACAATGAGCTTATTTTGCACAGATGTATAACCGTGGAATTTCGGTGAACATAGTAGACACTCTAATTTAAGTGATGGCTGCAGTTACAGAGTGAGGGTCGTTTGTTTTGTTTTGGGTTTTTTTGTTTGTTTTGTTTTGTTTTTAGATATTTGGCATTCTTAGATGCTCCTGTTTGTTAATGTCATCAATTTTGCCCTCCCACATGATGTTGCTCCTGGATTCTTATGAACATCTTTTCATTTTATTTTTTATTTCTTTTTTTGTCTGTACCTATCATTTTACTACTCTAAGGACCTCTTAGTTTGGAATCTTCTTCCAGTAATACAAATCAACAGCTCTATGACTTGAAGACTCAGAGAATCACCTGTGGGCTTGCCCATATCACATAGCTGGTATATGTCAGAGACAGGACTTGAATCTAGGTTTTGACTAGCCTCTAATCACTATGCTACATTGCCTTAGCACAGTGCCTGGCACATAATAGGTGCTTACTAAATGCTTGTTGACTTGCTTCTCTTGGGTATCATCATTACCTGGGACAAACTCTTCATTGAAGAGAAGAATTTGGCCATTTAGACCAAATTCACCTTTATGAGCCCCAAAGAGAATTCATAGGTGCCACTTAATCTTAACATTTTGTTTTATTAATTCATCTTTAAAAATTACTTTCAAAGTCATTGAAAAAAGGAAGAAAAAAAACTAGACAACGTAACAAAAATTTAACGTTAAATATTAGATTTTTAGGACACTAGATTTTAAAAGCAATTGGGAACCAATCTTTGTAGACCATTCCCAAAATATACTGTATATTTTAGTACAAACTTGGCTGAATGTGCTCAGATTTGAACTGTTGAACCACTCAGATCTCCAATGTACATCCAAGTATATCTGTATTGAACATAATTAGTAACTCTAGTATTACTCAGATTGGTAATTCTCTTTGTGTTTGCCACATGTTGAAGAAATCCATGTAGTGCTTTAAATGAGAAGTTGCACAATATGGTCTACTTAGAGGTGGACAAAAGTGCACAGTATTTATTTAATTCTTCTCTGACACTGGCTTCCATGTTCCTTCCTGGTTCAAGAAAGGAAGCTGAGCCAGATTCCATAATACTTTAATACTTTGCAGTTTGTTTCCATTAAACAGCATACATTAGCCACACTAGCCAGAACTAGAGGAGACATTGTAAAATTGCTATTAATGTGTCTCAGGTTTATTTAACAGAAGCAACATTCTCTTTTTCCATAATAAGCACCAATATAGAAAAAAAAAGTATGCATCTTCCTTACAATATTATCCTAAGACTTCAATGAAAACAGTGTCCTAGGCCATATTAAATAAAAGTTGAATGTTAGTAACAGAAGTGAGTGAAAACCAGGCAGGTCAAAGCATGACCATGTATCAGGAATACCCTCCTTGCCTTAATATATCTAAATTATCCCCATAGTTCAGGGGTTTTTAACCTTTTCTCATGTGATGGACCCCTTTGGCAGCCTGGTGAAAAATCTACAGTTTCCTTTTCAGAATAATGTTTTTTGATTTTTGGTTTTTTACTGAACCAAGCAGTTGGGGTTAAGTGACTTGCCCAGAGTCACATAACTAGTGAGTGTTATGTGTCTGAGACCGGATTCGAACTCAGGTCATCCTGACTCCAGGACCAGTGCTCTATCCACTGTGCCACCTAGCTGCTCAGAATAATGTTTTTAAATACATGAAATAAAATAAAATACATAGCAGTAAAAAGGAAACCAAAGGTTAATGAAAATAAAGATGTATTTTTCCCCATCGAACTTTACAGACCCCAAGGTAAGTAAGTCCCCTTGCTTTAAAAATAATAATTAGACAGCAGGACCAATTAGAGCTTCAAGATACAATTCAATTGAGCAATGTTTATTAATTTATTAGTTTCATCAGTTTGGCAAAACACAAAAATATTGTTCCAATGGCAGCTAGGTGGCACAATGGATAGAAAGACCTATCTTCCTGAGTTCAAATCTAGCCTCAGGTACTTACTAGCTGTGTGACCTTGGGCAAGTCGCTTAACCCTGATTGTCTCAGTTTTCTCATCTGTAAAATGAGCTGGAGAAGAAAATGGCAAACTGCTCCAGTATCTTTGCCAAGAAAATCCTAAATGGGGTCACAAAGAGTCAGACACAACTGAAACAACTGAACAACTGTTCCAGTACTCTAACAATCTGGCTAATGTTTGAGGTACTCATCATGTTCA